CATAAACAAATATAACAAGCAAAGAAAATTTTCTTAAAAATAATCTTAACTATATATATATATATATATATTGGATTTTTTATTTTACTATTTTATTATTTGTATTTTATATTTTATAGTTATCGCTAAATTTCCTAATTTACCAAATCTACTTAATTTACCATTACCTTCTCCGGCAACGACCCTAAAAACTTGATCCTGAGGATATTGTTGTGCAAAATATATAAAGTTGAATCTACTTTACAACGGTGCCAAAAAAACTTGATGTGTTATTTTATGAATAAGAAATTTAAATAACTTATGTAGGGATTCTACGCAAGTATATGTAACGTTGTTAAGTAATACAAGAATTTCTGTTTAAGCCCAAAATATCAATCCCACGAGGAATGTTTAAATTTGAAATGATAAATTAACTTAGAAATTCACAACAATAAAACAAAATTACTGTCACTTATTTCAAATTTTTTATGTACTCTCAGAACTATATTATTAACTACTAGCAAAAGTGAAATGCAACAACTACCAAACTATGTTTATTTGATGAAGTTATCTAATATGAAAAAACATCTTTCACTACATTGAGTTTTTGGTTGAATGAGATGAGATGAATGGTTTAAATTTGTATTGTGCTAAATAGGAGCAATTTTAATTCTCTACCTTAATTCAGTGTTATAGAGAATCATTGGTTAATCTCAGTTTTAGTCTCTAAATCCATGATTAGGATGGGAGGATACTGGCTCCCTCTCCAGATCTCCCACTTCTCTTCCCCTGAGGGCTAACTCTCACTTTAGTTCTTAAAAACTAAAAACCAATTGGGGATTTTAGTCTGTCACCCTAAAATCTCCAATTCTACGCCAAACAATATCTATTTAACTATTTATTTGCACTTAATTCTATGAATGAAATGCTCCTCCATGGGATTAAATGTGATTCTCACTCTATTGTAGAAATCATACTCGATTTCATAGATCATATGTTTCACAACATATTTTAACATTTCAACTGGCCAGATCAAAAAGTAAATTAAGAATAAAGTTGAAAAACCATGACAATTTATTATATATTTTAAAATTGGTAGATCCAAATTATCTCTTCATTTCACCATATCTTAGAGTAAGGAGAAAGATAAAGAAAACTACTCAGGCTTCAACTACTCAGGCTTCATGAACACAAATTTCATATATATACAATAAAACACAAATTTCATATATAAAAGAAAGTTCTTACAACAATAATACACAAACAACACTTATCTGAAACTAAACTACCACGAATGGCATGGATGCTTTCCTAAAGAAAATCCATTGTAGCCTCTCTTGGACTCTTTCTCTCTTTACAATACTCTTGATTATGTTTTAAAAGATGTAGGGAAGAAGAAATCTCTCACTTCTCTCCCTCTCAAACAAACACTTCTCTCCCTCTCAAACAACTCTTACAAAAGAATTCACACTTAAACTCACCACAAAACTTAAAAATCTAGAGAATTAAATGATTAATGGGCTCAAAGGGGTTGGGGGGCGAAAGAGAGATTTTTCTGATCAATTTTTGCTCTAAATAGAGCCTAATGTTAGTTTTCCAATAGGTGTATCCAAAAATTCTTCAAAAGGTTTCCAAATTCATCAAATCTTCTAGAAATTGGTCTTGCACCGACAGTGGCACCGTCGGCGCTAGTGGCCTATAAATTAATTCATTGCTCTCTGTCAAATGGCACTGTCAGTGCTGAGAAAATTTTGTCTTCTGTTCTATAGGTTTGCACCGTCGCCACTGGGTATCTCTTCAAAAGCTACATTTGGACTCCAAATTCAATCCTTTTTGTTTTCTTTTTGCTTCAAATCCTAAAAATCAACAATCTGCAAAAAAACATGAAAAAAACCTTCCTGTAAAGAGCAATATTACAAAAAATGAGAACAAAATATGGGTCTAAAAATGCCTATATTTTTGGTGCATCACCTCCTCTCTTAGGAAAAGGTATTGAGCCTCAACCCTAAATCGATCTTCATTTGATTCTCTATACGTATTTACTATATTTCTTACTATATATGTCGTATATATATGTTTGTATTGAGATGATAAAGGTGTAGGAACAAACCCATAATGATTTGATTGAGTCTAGATCAAAATCTAAAGGTTTTAGTGTGAATGGCTTACATGTTAGGTTACTTGGGGATGATGAACGGATGTCGTCCGATCGCACATTTATTTCATGGACAGTTGAGATCACATTGGACGAGCAAATGGAACAAAAAGGCAAACTGACAAGGCAGCTCATGTGGAGACTTTGGAGCTGCCGAGGTTGAGGTGGCGCCACGTGTTTAAGTAGAAAAATATGGATTTTTTTTATTTATTTAAATGCAAGAACTTCAAAAAATCATATCTTTTTATAGAAAAATCATAAAAATAAATTAAAAATATCCTCTAGCTCAGAGAAGAAATGAGAATAATGCTGACCAATAATAAAAAATATTTCACAACTTTTAGATTTTTAATTAATTAAATACTCTCTGTGGTATTTCAATTCATTATGGCTAAGCAGTGCTCACCATGACTTGAAATTTTGAGGGCTTGTTCTCATAACAAATACTATGTTCTCTAATTTTCCCATGGTCAGAGGACATCTCTGGGCTTCTAATGCTAATTTTAAAGCTAAGATGGCTATTTTGGCTTAAATTAATTATATAAATTGAAATATCACTTGGAAAGTTATGGGATAAATTTTAGTAGGTTTCCTGTGGTCAAAGAGGCGTTGGAAAATGTTATTTGGGTTCGAATAATTTTGTGAAATTCTATAATTAATTAAATGTGTATATTTTGTACTAATTTATGGAAATTAATTATTAATAAAAAATCAACAAAATCAATTCCACATTGTCTGTAAAACTCATGTTAACCCACTATAAAAATTTGAAAATGAATTGATTAAGTGCAAGTACTAAAGTTGATCTTTCAAGAAACATTGTATTTTCTTACAAAAAAAATTATATTGAATTAAATAACTTAGGAAAATTATGAAAAGTGGTTTTCTAAGTTCCTTATGATCATGAGCACTTAAGAAAAATAAAATTAATTTTTGATAAAATACTTTATTTTTTAGCTTTATTTTGAATTAAAAATAATTAAAATATTAACAATTCCAAAAAGCAAAAATATTTCAAAATGTTCTTAATGGTTCCCTGATCTCTTGGGACACATTAAAATATTTTTCCTAATTTTTCCTAAATTAAAAATAAGTTTCCAAAGGCTTAAAAATGTATTTCACTTTTTTTCTTATCAAAATAATTATAATAATTAGATTGAAAATCATAAAAATATTAAATTTGTTTCTCTGAGTTCTTTGGACTCAGGGAGGTTTAATAAAAATGTAAGAATATTTTTTGGTAATTAAAATATATTTTTTCATTTATCTAAATAATTAAAAAACTAATAAATTATTAGAAAATTAAATTAAAACTTAATTTAGAAACTCATAGCAATTTATGTGATTATTTTCTTTGACCTAAGGGAACCTCTAATACTTTTCTCATAAACCAAAAACTTTATTTTGATTGATTAAATAAATTAGGTTTGAGAATCCTATTTTCTAGGTTAAAACATTTATTCAAATTAAATATAAATTTGAAAACCCACATCTTTCTCCTCTTGTGTTTTAATTACTCTATGGATAGGGTATTCTAAATCTCTTAAGTGACTTGAATTATACTTCATAAGTTATGAGGTGAGGAGCCGTAAGGGTAAAGTGGCCATTTTAGACTTTTGGTTCCTTAATCAAAATTTAGGAGTGACCAAAAGGAAAGGGGTAATTTTCATTCTAATTAACATGTTTGGATGATTGAAACATAATGGGTAAAAGGTAGAAACTAATTTGTCACCTTCCCATGATAAGAATAAGATTATGAATTTCCTAAATTATCAGATTTGGAAGTTAATCAAAGATCAAACAATTTTCAAGCGATGGGCTTAAACTATGGAGATGATGTTTCACTTATGATTAAGTTCACAATTAATGATGATTTGACTTCATTTAATCATAATCCACATCACCTAAATTAAAATTCTAACCTTTGTTATTCTTCTTCCCATTAGATTTATTAAAGGGCTTGGTAGTGATATAGGCTTGATATTTAATTCATTTAATGGGATTTAGAGGATAATATGATTGATGATTAGCATTACAAGCCCAGCTTTAGTGGTGAGAACAAAGGTCCTCAATGACTGAAACTTGTGTTAGGGGCATTCACCCACATAACTTTTAAGTGAAATATAAATTGATTAACTAGGTACCTTATGCTCGGGACGATTAAAATGTCAAAGTTTATTGAGTAATGCGGTAATTTTAATATGACCTAGGATGATTAGTAGAGCAATATGATAAGTTAAAAATGAACTCAAATATAAAAATAAGTTAAAAATGAACTCAAATATTTCAAGGGACCTTTAAAGCAATTCAGGGTCATTTCCCAAATACTTTATGATCTCTTGAATATTTTCAAGGACAAATTGAACTTGCATTATTTTGTTCTAAAATCATTCTATAAGATCTTTTGGCACTCAATAAATCATAATTTAAAGTCTATTAGATACACCTTCATTTACTCTTGCAATTTCCTTAAATTTCTATAAGAATATATAAATGTTGCAAAATCTGGAAGATGGGGAGTCGTTGGTTTAGTACCGCTATGTAACCTGCTACAGACTTAATTTCCACCACCTATTTATGTAACCCGGATGGAAGGCGTAATAATTTTTTTCAGATCTATCCTTACATTATTTTTTGGTTCTTTTGGATGGCGATATAAAGCATGATAATGGCAAGGCTCTTTGCTATAATATTTTCGCCAATATTATAGCTTTTACTTCTAGAATTTTTAAGTTTAGTGGTATGAAGGATGGTTTTTTACTCTGGTATTATCTATTTTGACTCTCTTGTACACCCTTCTCCTGGGAGGACGACTCTATCACATCTACCAGTATTAGTGAGATGGCGCCCGTCTCATATTGGGTGGATGAAAATTAATACGGATGGGAGTTGGAACCCTATTAGTGCTGGTTTTGGTGGAGTTGTGAGAAATGATAAGGGAAACTGTATTATGTTTTTTTCTCCTTCCTCTGCTACTTTGGCTTTGGAAGCTGAAGCTCATGCAATTTTGATGGCTGTTACTATTGCGGCGTCTTTGAATTGGTATAATCTTGAGATTGAGATTGATTCGAAGCTGCTCTTTGATATCTTAAATTCTGTTAAGCAGGAGATTTGGGAAATTTCTTATTATATAAATTGTTTTAAATGTTTCTCCTCTACTATCTCTGTTACCTGGAAGTTTATTCATCGTAAAGGTAATAGAGCGGCTAATTGGGCTGCCCAGCTTGGGGCCACGACCTCTAATGTCATAGTTGGTACGACTCCACCCTCCTCTCTTAAAGTCCAAATGAATGGTGACTCTTTGAATGCCCCTTATGTTCGGAATGTTGATGGTTGATATTGCTTGTCTTGCAGTTTTTTTGTTTTACTTACTAAGCATGACAATCTCTACTTCGGTTTGGTTTTTCGGTTTGGATTTTGTGAACCATTCTATATCGGCATATGTTAGGGAGATTTATTTTCTATTTCATGCTCTTGTTCTTTCGACTCATTGCCCCTTGCGACATCATGAGTTATGGGCTTTTAAAGAAGCTTTTCATTGTTCATATTTCAACTACATGGTTTGTGTTTGGGGTTTCGGACAGGGTGGGTAGGGTCCCATCTGTTCAGCTTTTTTGTCATTTACCTCAGCCTGAAGCTTTACTTTTTTATGGATCATCGATTTATCACATTGATGGTATTTTGGCTTGGAGTTTCTCCTTTTTTGTGCTGGTATCTTCCGAAGATTTTCCATACATTATTCCACATTGCTGCGGGGAGCTCTACAGTCGAAGATCATACCCTCTTGGTTGTTGGTTTCTTTTTTGCTACACTTACAAACTTTTGGGTATATTTCTCTTGTGTTGGGTATATTTTTGATGCTGGTATTAGTGTGTTGTTTTGGGGATTTTTTTGTGTCGACTTGTCTTGTGGATGAGGAACCCACATAATTTGAGCGAGTATTATAATATTTTTGGATTTTTGGTAGCGGGGGATCCTCTCCCTATTTTCTTGTAATACTTTTTGTCGATTAACATGTAAGGAGCAATATGTTGCTCTTTCTTTAAGAAAAAATATATAAATGTTGCAAAAGACTAACATCTTAGTTGGAATGTCAAGAAGATGACAGGTACATTTTTTATAGTTTTACTTAATTTCTCTCATTTTACTTTCTGCAAATGTTATAAACAGCTTGGGTGAGTACCTTACTTCACTTTAAACATAAAAACAACTTTTTTAAAAAATTAATCAACATTTTCAAAAAAAAAAACTAACATTTATTTATTTCAAAGGTAATTATAAATCCTTTGAAATTTCACTAAACTTAAAACATCCTTTTGAATTTACGTGAGTCCCTCAGAGGAGGTAACCCATGGTTGCTAACGAGATCTCCCTGGTTTAAATGAGTTTCACAAATTGTTTAATCTAAGTAAATTAAAAAAAAATAGTGATACAAGAACGAGGAAATCATGATATCCTAACCGACGTCGATCTAATCAACTTTAGTGTCCCCATAATATTTAAATAACCTCAGGAAATATTTGATTTGGCATCATAACTTGACACAATAGAAACCTTGACCTCTAAACCTACTACTTCTCTCAATGTTTACAATTTAGCACTTCTAAACTTAAAATTGCTATGATGAGGAGCATGGAGCTAGCATTGTGGGCAGCACACCCATCTTCAACAGTAAAACATGTTTACACCAGCTAAACCATTCCTTATAATTAAACAATTGAGCCATATGATTTTAAGGTTGTTCGCCCAGTGCGACATAAATCCTCAACTTATCTTTAGGCCTTTGTATAGCTCTACTATACAATTTAAGCCCTGACCTGTTTTAGGATTCCGAGATTGTCGTTTGGTATGACCTAAATCCTCACATCTTCCATGTTATTCATGTGATCATTTCAAATGGATGTAAGCCCTAACTAATAAAATTGGCAGGATTAAAAACTTAAATATTTCTCCTCTAAATTGAAGTCGTACAGTAGATTAACTTGGGAAGTCACCGAGGTTCTCCTCAGGATCCGTGACATCACCTAGTTCTTATTCCTTTGGATTCTAAAAATAAATGTTCCAAATTTGAGCCATTCTCCTTTCACACCTCCTTCTCTGATCTCTTTAAAAATCCCTATCCTTTGAAATTCTTGATAATAATGTCCCCTGATTTTTATCCTGAGTTTTCTTAGGTAACTTCAGTTATCGAAGATGTAATTAACTATAAGGGCTTATCTTTATAAGAAACTTTAACAAACCCTATTTAATTTTTCATAATTAATAGGGGAACTTGTTCGCTTATAATAAAATGGTTTCACAGATCAAATGGATGTCATACTGTTCTTAGTTTATTTGATTGAGCCTCACTATCAATTCATGTATTTATCTTTTAAGGTAGACACATAGCTTTAGGTGTAGTACTCTTTCATCTAAACTATGATAGAAATAGAATCAGTTTGATTTCATATTTTAGAGATATATATCAGAAGTTTTTTTAGGGGTAGTAATCTACCTAGCTACTTTAGAGATTCTTCTATTGTCTTAACTCCAAAAGGGGATCTACAAAAGACTTGGGATCATTATAGACCTATCAGCCTCACTTCTATAATCAGTAAACTTATTAGTAAGATCATTGTTAGAAGACTTAAACCTCATCTTGACAAGATTATCTGCCCAAATTAAACAGCCTTTATCAAAGGGACACCAATTACTGATAATGTGTTGCTAGCACAGGAGTTGATTCTGGATCTGGATAAAATCAGTAGGAGGTAATCTTATCTATAAACTTGATATCAAAAAAGCCTATAACACAATTGATTGGAAATTTATCTTGGGGATCCTTGTTGACAGGGGGTTTCCTTGTTGTTAGGGGGTTTCAACCTGATTTCTGCAACCTCGTTCATAAGTGGCTCATTAAAGCGGCTCATTATTAAAAACTACTCTATTCTTATTAATGGCAAGGCTTGGGGTTCCTTCTCAGCTGCTAGAGGACTTAAGCAGGGAGACCAGGGCCCCTTCAATGAACCAGTCACTGTGGTGGCACTCTCCCCCACAATCTTTATTCTTGTTATGGACTATTTTTCTAGAATGCTTGACAGGGTCATCCTCAATCAACAGTACTCCAGATATAATCACAAATCCACAATGACTATATTTAATCTCATATATGCTGATGATGTCATGATCTTCTCTAGTATCCATAAAAATGCAGTCAAGAAAGTCTGTCAGTGTCTGAAGCAGTTCCAAGGTTACTCAGGGATGGTGTTTTCAGGGATGGTGTTTTCAGGGATGGTGTTTTACCCTGAAAAATGCCAATTGATTTTCAACAAAAGGACATCATCCAATTTCAAATAGTGGGTTTCTAAATATACAGGTTTCTCCATTGCAAAAGACCCTTTTAAATACCTGGGGGTTCATCTTATTTGGAGGACGTCTAAATTAATCCAATTAGATGAAGTTTTTCAAAAAATTCAAAATCTTTTATCTAGCTGGTCTCACTCTTTCCTATCTAATGGGGGCAGAATAACTCTTCTCAAAAACATTTTAACTACTTTTCCATCATATATTCTCCAAACCACATATATGAAGAAAAATATGCATATTCAGTTGGAAAGAGTATTTTACAGATTTTTGTGGGCAGATCAAAGGCACATCTCCACTTGGCTTCTTAGAAAAAGGCTGCTAAACCTACCATGGATGGTGGGATAGGTTTCAAGGGACTTCAACAACTCATCTAGATCAACTTCTGCAAAATGTGGATCAATTTTCAAAATGTGGATCAATTTTAGAGC